TGCGTAGAATTAATTGGAATTTTTCACACACAAGCCTTGCTATATGAGCTCTCAAAGCATATAAAAATTATACGGCTTAAATGTGAAGTTGGGTGCAAAAGAATACAATTAAATCCTCTGTCGGGAAAAAACGAAATGACTTTCCGAACAACCTTATAATTTTCTATTTAAGTCATTGGTCCAAAGTTAATATACATCAAAATATATGCAATACCTACCACTCGGTAATAACCAAGTTAATTAGTAACCATACAAATAGTACAGTTTAAATTCAGATAAGAAACAGACCAAATAATCAACAACGAGAAGCGAGTGAGGCAGGGTGGTGAGACGGTGACCGGGGATGCATTATCTACCATGTTCTACACATCCCAAGTATATTTAATTACTTGCTGTCATTAAATTTTTCAAATTGTATTAAGTAAATTACTTTCATTTATTTATTAAAATTGTCAAAGTAGTCGCAAAATGCAGACGATGTGAAAAATGAGGTCAGAGGTTTTATATGATATTAGAAGGATCAAATGATAAATAAAAAAACAATGTTTTAAAACAAAATAAGTTTTATTTCGAATAAAATGAAGTATTTTAAACTAATATTGTAAATTCTTTTACATCTCTCTGAACTTTTCCGACAAAAAATTACTAACTATTTTATTTATTTATTTATTAAATGTACGTCTTATGTACATACAAATTACAAAACATCATTTTTATCCTAAAATACAATTGAAAACAAATGCAATAACAAGTAATTGTAAACTAGCAACAACTGCAACAGAAGTGTTTTCAGCTGGAGGGGAAAGGGTAATATTTAAAGCGTTTTCTATCCAGTCGTTATAGTACGCCACGTCTGTATAAACACCTGGATAACCATCCCTTCCACATCCTCGCCCCCATGAAACTATTCCTGCCACTCTCCCGTTACATACTAATGGTCCTCCAGAATCTCCCTAAATCATTACAAAAAAGTATTTTAAAAGCATAGGTTTCAAAATGAAGACCACAACCGATGCTTTTGGAACGGTATGGCTAGGAAAATGTTAGAATAGACTAGACGATCAAGTATGACTCAACTAATTTTCGGTTTGGGGGTCTGACTATGCACACTGTATGTTTTGGGGTGGCTGAATCCAAATCCAAGGTCAACACGTCAAGGTTTGGACATAACCCCATTAAAACCGTTAATTATAATAACCCCAAATGATTTTAAACCTAAAACCCTAGTCAATCAACTCTTCCACTAAATATATACATATAACATTATAATCTTTTAAACCTTTTACCGTAATCAAAACACTGAATGAGTATCGCTTAATCTTTCACTATGAAACTATTTATGACATAGATTTCACAAAATTAAAATTACCTCCTCTAGGTCTAGGTCGCACCTATCCAGAATTCAACACCTTAGGAATCATAAGGATAGTTTGTTCTAATTTTGTGAAATCTACACCACGAATAGTTTCGCGGTGAGGGATTGAGCGATTTAGTGGAAGATTAGTTAAGGGTTTTAGAAAATACTACAAATGGCGCAGTAAACGCCATCTGTAGCACGATGCTACATTTTAGGATTACGTATGCTCCAACAAGGTCCACTTGTGTGGATATCTACTTGCCGAAAACGAATCCCGGCGTAGCCAACCTCAACGTGATATGCACGTTACCTTAATCGTGTTATTTGAGATATGTCCATGTTCTGATGTACTTGGGTTAAACTGACCTAGGATCAGGATTCAGTGACTCCAAAAACATACAGTATACACACCAAAAATGTTATTTTGTGGTCATGTAATTTGCTACTGAAATTTTCTTTGAGTAACGAATTGTTTTTACAGAAGAAAATATTTGTAAAAATTGTTAACCTGACAGGAGTCAATCCCTCCTTGCATAGATCCAGCGCATATCATTCCAGGAGTAATGCGACCCTGCCCGTAGTTTGTGGAACACTCCTCTGTACTAATGATTTGAACGTTGACGTATCTTAAGTCATCAACTGAACCACCCCCCTTAAAAATAACATAGTAATTTTAAACGAGGCTGATGGTAATAAGTAATCTTCTAGCACTATTGTTTAATTATTTTATACAACATTCACTGTAAATAATTATCATTTTGATTTTAGTGTAAAATATTTAACGCTGTTAACATATAGAATAGTATCTATGTTAAAATGAATGTACTGTTATGTAATTTAAAAGAACAAAACATCTGGCGGTGAAGTAATTTTTAGCTTTTAGGAGGAGTTTCTCAATTCGACTGTTTTTTTTTTTCGTATGTTTGTTACGCGATTAATACGCCAATTATGAATTGATTTTGATGATTCTGTTATTGTTTGGTAGGCCAAATTTCAGAGGTGGTCATATATAAATTTTATCAAAATTGATACAGTGCTTTTTGAAAAAATCAACTAAAACAATAAATATATACACACTAAAAATGGAAAAGCAAAGTCAATTTTCTGAAAAAAAAAAAACAAAAATCGGCTTCAAGACTACGCCTACATGTACAAACCTAAATCAAAAAGTAGAAAAGTAATATTTTCATTACTTCAAAGCAAAATGCGTTACAAAACGATCGATAAAATCATTGAGACTTATTTTTGAAGTCGGTTCCAGCCAAAGCAAAAAATTACCTTAAAAAGTACATACTTGATTAATTAATTAATATATGAATGGGAAAGTAGAGATTAGAAAAAAGAAATATGAAAAAAAGTTTGTTGTAAAGGCAGAATTAAACTACTCCTCTTGACTGACACCGACTCCAAAAATAACTGATTACAAATTGTAAATGTACAAAAATATCAATGATTTTGTCGATTCTTCTGTAATGCACTGTGCTTAGAAGCAGAAGTAATTAAAATACAAATTTTTACTTTTTAGATTATGTTTGTACAAGTAGATATAGTTTTCAAGTCGTTCTTTTTTTTCTAAAAATTAACTTAGAACGTACAAAAATTGTATGGTAGAAGTTACAAAACGTAAATAGAAAATTTTTTGAACTACAACCACAAACTAACACAAAATATTCAGCTTATCTACCGTATATCTTGTAGAATATGTAATCGAGTATATCTTCAGGTAATCTAGTTATATAAAAATGTTCGACTGAAGAATTATTGGGTCTAAAAATGTATACGCAATGGTGAGCTTTACCATGATCTTGATAACTATCTCCATGGTGATTTCAAAAATGCATTGATCATAAAATGACCTTAGAGGAAGTCATCAAGCAAACTTACTTACTAATTACTTCTTGATAATGAATAATATATAAGTAATACTTCTAGGAATGAATAAAATAATACAAATAAATGGAATTAAATCGCTTTTGTAAACTTCTTACTGAAATTACTGAACCCCATCCGGAAATAGTGCAATTGGTTCCTGGCGCAGGTCTTACTGTTGCGAGCGGCTCAAAATTGACTTTTGAACTCCAAGTAAACTCATCCTGGATCTAAAAATTTCCTTTTTTATATGGGGAATACTTAAGGTAGCACCTAGAGTATTAATTAACTTTTAGTAAAACGAAATAACATTAGAAATCATTTAAAAAGACATAAAATTTTGGAAAAGTAAAAGAGCAGAGTAAATACTTAGGCAAGGTAGAGATAACTTGGCATTACTTTATAAAATATATTAAAGATGAGTTAAAGACAGTTTCGAGTAGAAACTGTTTAACAATGGTCGAAATTATGAGCGTTGTAAGAAAAATATACAAATAAGGGAAATAGTTTAAATAGTCTTCACTTCCTTTGATCTCAACGGAAAGAATTCTTCGTTTTTGAAAGTTGATTAATACTCAAAACAGAATCTTACAATGACAAGCGCTACGTCATTCATGAAACTGGTAACGTTGAAATCTTCATTGGTTATGACAGCTCTGTTATAATGAACAGAAGTATCATTTGACGGTTCATCAATGCTTAAATCACCAGCAACTACCCTAATGGCACCGGGAGATGTGTCCCGATCTCGGAAGCAATTAGATGCGCACAAAACGACTGTACTAGTGATTATTGTTCCTCCACAAAAGTGCCGATTGCTTGACGCATTTCTTAACGAAACCTGCAAATATATTGGGTTATTAACAGCCACGTGGAGGTCTTTTTTTGGCAAATGTCCAGAATTGGGGATCTTTTTCATCGATTTCTGGTCATTCTACCTAATACAATTAGATAATAGTATTCGGGGGAGACAGTTTTTATGACTTCATAAATAAAAAACAATTTTTTGAATGATAATTTTTCAAAATAACCTCAATTAGGCTAGGTAGATTTAGACAGATTGGAATTTATTTAATGCCCCTGCCTGCCGGAGGCGGGCTGATATGTTAGAGTATTTTATTCACAAAAAGAATTAGTTTTATACATTTCCTAGTACAATACCGGAATTTCATACAATTCCTAGAATTGGGCCTCTAGACCAAAATCGCTCCAAAAATTTTTTCATCGATTTCTAGTCATTTCTGAGGATTCAATTATTTTATTTGAGGCGGGGGAGACACATTTTTTGTCAAGTGAAACTTCTTTACGCACGGTAGGGTAAGTTCATTTTATGCGAGTTGCTATGTAACGAAATCATGCAACGCATTACCCCCGCTGACTGTCTCTATGTATGCTTAGATCTTTAAAACTACGCAACGGATTTTAATGCGTTTTTTTTTTAATTGAAAGAGTAATTCAAGAGGAAGGTTTATATGTATAATACATGCATAATATAGTAGAGAAACACTGATAATTTTAGAGGTTTGTAATGTGATGTCGTAAATAAACACATTTTTTTCGCTTACTTTGCAAACGCTGGTTGAACCTTACGAGATAGATCAAAATAATGTACTACAGTATTGTACACCTTAAAGGGCCTACAAAAAAGTCCGGGATGGTATATGTCTATCTCTTAGGGATAAACAACAATAACCATTTTTTATGCATTACTATTTACGAAGCGATGTTAAGCAATACAATATTAATCCTTATTCAATTAAGTACTTTTAAATACATTGTGCATTTAATATAGATCAATATGGCCCCTTACAGCATGTAATTTAAATGAATATTTTCGAAGATACTACAGACTTAAAATGCAGGGACATAGGGGTTGCGGCGGTACCGGCCGGTTTGTATTGTCTAATGACAAAAAAGCTGTGATTGTTGTATATAAAGACATTCTATAGTATATTTACTATCAGCATTGCACCCGTGCGAAGCATAGTGTACAAATAATACCATTAAACCAATTCCTTAACCCCTTTCCCGGTATGTTTGTGTGTTTGAAGAAGTTTCACTTCAGTAGCGTGTTGTATAATTA